AAAAGAGTGATTTGCAGTGATAAGAACCGGGAAGTAATAAATCCACTTTGACTTATTACTACCCGTCTCATATAATATACTCATATAATTGATATTAAACTCTTAAATTGTCGGAAAGTGGTAGTTTATTGAGAATTATATTAAATAACGATGACATAGGAAGAGAGAAACCTAGAGAAAACGTAAGACTAGAATTTATGATTTTCTTCATTTTCTGTAATATTCTTCGTGGATTCATTTCGACCGAGCGCGCGGTGCACCTTTCGTAATAAAGTATCTCTCCATTTATCCGGTCGAATCGAATTTTATCAGGTAATCCGACCTTGGATAATAATCATCAATATTATTATTCAATATTTAAAAGCATTAGTACATGCAATATTTCATACATAAAATAAAATAATTTTTAATAATTAAAATAAAAATGAAGAGATTAATATTTTCTAAATATCAAAAATTAAAAATAGAATTTACACTTTACCCTTCATTTTTTTTTTTTAAATTAAAACATCTATATTATAAATAAATTTTTTTCAAATAATATACGAAAGATACGATATGTACGACGTGTATCAACATACAATTTTGCTTTGATAAATAATTCATTGGACCGAGGTAGAAAATCGTCGAAACATTTGTTCCGCTCGATGATTAAATTCTGCAAATTTCATCCCGATGCTTTCGCACGGATATTAACGTACCTATGTAAAAAGAATCTTCAATCTGACATTTTTGTTTCAAACGAAGCTGTACGATTTACCTTCGAAGACAGGAAGAACGTAAATGATCGTTCGGCTGCATTTCGCAGCGCGAGGAGAGAAAAAGAGAACCGACACCGTGAAAGTTTTAATCGAAAAAGTTCGAACAATGCGTCCCGGCTGGTTCTAACAATAAGACCGATAGGACAGTTGCAGAACACCGGCTGCGCGTTAAGCGTTTTATTATTCCGAGGGACAGCGGGATATTATTATTGATTGCTCTCTCCGGCATTGATCTCCGTTGTTTGCGAGTATCTCTCGATCAACCCCTATGACGTCGCGTAGAAATAACTGGGATTTAATTTCCACTTATTCCACCTTCCGCCGCCTAAGCGGCATTTTGCCATTAAAAAGGCAGAAAAGGCTCGTGCGAACGGTATTTTGCCATTTTTAGTGTCTGCTGGAAAAAAAATAAAAAAAGAAAAGGAATGAAATCTTTCTCTCTTTTTCTGCTCCCTCTTCCTACCTCCCCCCCTCCCCTCTCTCTCTTTCTCTCTCTCTCGACAACAGAAAATATTTTTTTCCTATCGTCGATCAAAAAGATAAAACGGACT